ATCAAGGAGCCAGCCTACAGCGGCCAGACCTGGGAGAGCTGGAGACCGCCTAGGACCAGCGACTCACACCTGCCGGGCCCCGACTGTGGCTGGCCTGGGCAGCGCTCACCTGATGGATGCCAAGAAGGTCTGATGGTGCTTCTGCACCGACTCCTCCTGCTTCCGTAAGTTCTCATTCACAAGCTGCTGAGAAGCCACAGAAAAAGAGAAAAGCCTTTAAAACCAGAAAAATGCTCAGCACCAATCCAGAGGTTGTGTCTGCCCCAGAGGCCGGAAGAGAGCGCGGCTCCACCGTATACATCGGCGCACGCTGGCGCCCAAACATGCCGAAACTGCCACCGTCTGGACACGCCGAGACCACAACTTCGAAGCTGGAGGACCATCAACCGGTGACAATCGGCCTGGACGGCATCCGCACTGACAGGGCTGCTTTCAGGAGCCCAACTCCCCAGCGCCCCAGAAACAGCCCCACTCCCGCCCACTCACTCTCCTGCAGGAACGGGCCACTGCGCGGCAGACCTCCCAACACATCCGCCCTGATTCACAGCTGTGCTGAAGGAAGCCTCTGTCTTCTGCCAAGACAACCGTTAGAAGCTACAATGGCCACCAACAGGCACACGTGAACCCCTGCCTGCGCTCAGGACTGCGGCGTGACGCCGGACACAGTAGCTCAAACCTGTAATCCCAGCGTTTTTGCGGAGAACTGAGGCAGGTGGATCACTTGAGGTCCAGGAGTTCAAGCACTAAGCCTGGCCAACATGGTGAACCCACCATCCTGTATAAAATCTGTAACTAAATCTCGTCACTAAAATCTGAACAGCAATTTAGTTTGACTATGGTGCGGCATGCCTGTCAATTCTAAGCCTAAAAGCTCGGGAGGCTGACAGGCAGGAGAAATGCTTGAACCCAGGAGCCGGAGGTTGCAGTGACACTGAGATCGCACCCACAGCACTCCAGCCGGGTGAAGAACGAGACTCCGTTTCAAAATAATAAAAGAGAACAAAATCCCGCAGAACTCAAAGAAATGAGGTGAGAATGTCAAGAAGATCCAGGCCCTCCAGATGACCAGACACCCTCACCAACACTGGTCCTCTCTCTCGGGCTGCACTGCAGCAGCGTCTCTCACCTCCCCTTGTTTCCTTCTGTGAAATGAGGCGCCCAAGCTCGGCCCTGTGCCCCACTGCTGCCCATGTACACGCCCCTGGCCCTACCCACTGGCAGTAGCCCACCAATCTCCACGCCTGAACCCCACGTGCACCCCGGCCTCCCCACGCACGCCGGCCCCACTCACTTTGAGTTGCTCCACTTGCAGCTTCTGCTCCTGCACCTGTGACAGGTTTAGGGAGTTCTTTGACATGGCCTGTGGGCGCAGAAGCACGGAGCCCAGGTGTTAGAATACGCGGATGCCACTGGGCAGGCATGCACACCAGCCAAGGG